TTGGCTTTCGGTTCGGGGCTTTGGTCCTCGCTCTGTCGGGAGTTTGCCTTTTTTTTTCCTTTTTTTTTGTTTCTTTTTTCGTTCATCACTGTATCCCGCCACACCAAGGTCCAAACGATGCGCACCGGATGATCTGGTATGAAGGTGGGTCTGGACTCAGGAGGGGTTCTTTCTTTGTTCTGGTGGTAGTGATAGTTTAAACTATATAGTGTGGTGATTCTATCTGAGCATCTGAAAAAGAAAGAAGAAAAGAAAAGAAAAGAAAAAAGAAAAAAAAAATCTTGCTATACGCGCGATGGTGGTCTGGTTGCACTTGATGCAGCCTTTTTCGGGGGGGGGGGGGTTTCTAGTATAGAGTGGGATAGAGGAATGCGACGGTAACTAACGACGAGGAGCTGGTTTTGAAAAAACGGAAGAAAAAACCCAAAAAGAACCCCCGAGGAAGAACAGTGAATTTCGAAATATACCCAGTCGTGGAATTTTATAATATCAAATTTTGTTGCGCGTTCATCTGGAACAAAATGGAACGAGGCACATGGAGGCTTGAATGGTATTGGACAAGATTGAAGCAGTTAGTATCTATTGGTTGTAATGCACAGAATTGATCATTCGTTTTAAATAACGTGCTCGAGTTCAAAATAGCAAGACTGCCAGTTTCCCAGAGTCGATATACCCATATATCTTCCCTCTGGTATAGGAGGAGTCCGTGTAGAGATGAGAGGATTGATGCTTTTTTTTCCCCTTCTTTTTTGCCCCGTGGAATCAAGAGGACCAACACCATGTTAGCCCCACCAAGTTGCTGCAATCATGCAGAGAGTAGGCGTTTTGGAGTGTACATGCCAATATTCTCCCACAAATATTGTGAGGAGGTGGTGCGGCCAAAAGTCTGAGCTCTCAAAAGTTGAGAATGCACATCATGTTGCCGGATTAACACTTTCCGGAGACACATAAACTTGACGGCTGCTGCACTCCCGATTGATTGATTGCACAGAAATCACCAATCTCCAAAAATTCAAACAATCATAATCTCGACGTCATTTGTTGAACAAAACAAAAGAAGGAATGAGAGAAAAAAGAAAAGAGCGGCTGATAACTATGCGAATCGAATCGTAACAAAAGGCAAAAGATGATCTGGCCCGGGTTCGAACCGGAGACCTTCAGTGTTCGCATTTGCCTTTGGAAAGCAGATGTTAGACTGACGTGATAACCAACTACACCACCTGACCATTTGTCGTTGGAAACGCCACATTTTGATTGTAAATATTGGGCACTTTAGCATTACTTGCAGTCTTTGTGAATAGCCCTCGCAACATTCTTTAAGAATACCTAGAAGAACAATATAACCGATCCCATATTTTCGGATACAGAATTTGATACACTTGGAATTTGAGCATAGGTGTAGCTTTGAATAACATTATATCTGGAAAATGTTGAATTATTAATCTAGCAGCGATATCCGGTACTAGAATCTCCGACAAAATGACCCAATCCACGCTCAAGTAGCCTGTTGTAAATACTCACAAAATACATGAACTTGAATAAGGAAAGTCGAGAAAATAAAAGGGAAGGAGTAGGAAGGGTCTTCGAGGGGTATGTCTCATAAAGACGGTGGATGTCCTTATGGGCTCCGAGTTCTACTTCAGGTCTTCTATAACTGGTCCGCCCAGCTATATGATGCAGTCGTCCTCGGGGGTGCTGAATTGAATCGCAGACATCTAAGGCAGAATGAACAAAATGATCGTGGGGAAGGGGGAATGGGTTCAGGTGTATGGCCGTATGAAGATGACGGATTTCTTCAAGCGCTTTGTGTTCTTGCTCGAGTCTCGTGTGACTTGCCCGCTCAGCTATTATAGTATGTATGGTGGCGGCCTGAATTAAGTTGCAAACATTTGAGGTCGAGTGAACAAGTTGCAAAGGAGAGGCAGAGGACCAACAGTGCTGGTAAAAATCTGAAAGAATAGTGTCAAAATTTGCAAGTTCCATGTCGTGGTATGCGGATTGGGCTGGTGCTGGTAGGTGTCATTAGAGGCATGATCGCCTGGTATTTGGGTCATTGTCTGAGAAAGCAGACGGAAGGCAAGTGTAGTCGTCCTTGCTGCCGCCCTGGCCTCCTTGTTGACCCTGGCCTCCTTGTTGACCCTGGCCTCCTTGTTGACCTTGGCCTCCTTGACCTGGACCTCCTTCCTGAGGATGGCTGTCCCACCAAGCCTTCTTGCAGGCCTGGTCCCATGTGTCACATATACCATCGTCTATACAACCAGGCTGTCCCATGATGCAGTAGGGCTTGCACTCGGGATGGGCAGGGTCGCACCAGGAAGATGGACGGCCAGTAGGCGCAGGAGGAGGAGGAGGACCGCCAGCACCGGCAGTGGCAGTGACGTAGACAGTTTGCGTGGCACATGCCTGGCCCTGGCCACCACCGTCTTGTCCACCACCACTTTGCCCACAGGGACCGCCAGGAGCCGGAGGACAGTTGCCATTTCCGTTACACGGACCAGTCGACGGTGGCTTGACGTTCCCCGGAGCTCCAGAGCCAGGGCTACCATTTCCACTACCCGGACCGGTCGATGGTGGCTTCACATTCCCTGGAGCTCCAGAACCAGGACGGTTGCCGACTTGGTCCCAGCCGCCGGGTGGAGGAAGCGGGAAAGTACCTCCGTTGGGCGGGCCCAGCTTGAAGGGGTCAAAGTCACCACCCCATTCATCAGGCCCATAGCCTACGTGCGGGTAGTGCTGAGGCCGTTTTCCTGCATCGACGTGATCGGATTTGCCCTTGGCAGGTGGCTTCTTGTAAGGGTCAAAGGGGCAGTTGTCGCCTTTGCCATACTTGCAGTCGTCGTCGTAGTCGTCGTAGTTATCGCCGTAGTCCTTGTCCTCTTTCTTGTCATCGTAATCATCGTAAGGGCTCTTGGGCTTCTCAGGCCATTCGGACCTCTGAGGATCACCTCCCTTGTCCTTGTCGTCGTCACCGCCTCCGTAAGGAGGCCAGGAGTCCTGACGCTTGGAAAGCAGGATGCCCTCCTCTACTTGGTCTATAGTGACCTCTTGGAGTTCGGCCGTACCATACGGAGGCTTGCACAGCATTCCGGTGTTTAACTGAGGCTTGACATTAGTGACGGTCTGGTTGGAGCTTGGCAAGTCCGGCTGGCGCTGGTAATGTTGGAAACGACACATATAAGGCACGACCCTTTGAGAAAAAGAAGGGAAGGGGGGAAAAAAGAAGAGGAAAAAAGAAAAGAAGGAAAAAAAAAAAAGGAACACCAAGAAGGGATTCGTGCCAATGACACATGACGAAAGAGATGAGTTCTGACATGATGGAGAGAGGCGTGTATCATGTGAAGAGGAAATGAATAGACATACCACGTTGATGCTGCAACACAAGGCCTTCTTGGACATATTACCACACGTCTTGGTGAATTGCCTGGACTCCTTTGGCTCGGGGCGTAGTCGGCGGCAGCCGTAGTGGACAAGACCAAGGATATTGTTCCAACAGCACACAGGCTTGCGAAGCCCGCTGCCGCAGATGCCGGCATTCTCGGTGCTGTCGATGGCTGTTTGGGTTGAAGCGTCGTTGCTGCTGGGCGCAGGCACAGCAACAGCAACAGCAAAGCAGTTGAGAGCGACAGCCCACAGAGGGAGGCATCGAATGGGCTCTCTCATTTTTGATTGTGGTTTGCTTCTCTAGAATGAGAAAGTAGACCGTAACGCAGAGAGCATCGAAGAAGAAGAAGAAGAAGAAGAAGAAGAAGAAGGGAAAGCTGTCAGGGAGCGGCGGCGAACTGCGAATGGGTTTTTATCAGGAAGGTAGCCCATCATTTTCCAAAAGACCTCCAGACTGATTCCCTCGGTCGACGAGACGTAGCACATGCTTGAGCTCGACAGTTATCGCAGACTGTGGGCGGCATCATGACTGCAACTGGATTAGCGACCTGCGATATTCATCCTGCAGTGGTGCCGGAAGCGTTGAAGATGGCATCAATTCCCAAAATGATCGGCTGAACAGTCGACGCTGAGTGGTTGTGATTAATCGACGACGTAAACACTGCCGTGCTGTCATGGTTGGTAGCCGAGGTGTTGTGGTCTAGACTCAGCGCCAGTTGAGTGTAGGCTTAGCTTGAGTTGCTTGAGCCCGTATCACTTCAGTCCATCTTGCGGGGATACCTTCACAACTTGCCGTCATTAACACGTGTTTAGTTGATGTTTTCGAAGGATCACCAGAGTGTGGTGACGAGTACAGCGTGTGATAGAGGTGCTTTCAATTGAGGAATGCGTTCTCGAACCTCAAAATTGGTGAAGGTAGTGTAATTGTTCAGACTATCACTCGTCAAGTGGACGCGGCGGGACGCATTGGCGAAAAAGTCATGTCATGCAGGATGGACTGTGGGTGGGATCAACTCTTTGCTTGCGGCTTCAGTTTGTTTGCGGATGTTGGGAGCTTTGCATTCGTCTGGATTGCACAAATGATCGCATCATCCTGATGCCTATAAAGTCTTAGCATCCGTGAGATCTTCATTCAATGGATAATTTGGTATCTTGTATTGTTGAGTATTACGTTGCTGTCATGTCATCAAACCGCCGAACTCACCAAGGTCCCAGGCTACCCTCAAGATTGCACCACAGCGACCACCTGGCTCTTCATTGGCCAGCTGCAAGTGTGTAGCCACCATCGATAGCGAAGTTCTGACCGTTGAGGTATTGGTTGGTGATAGCAAAAAGCACACCCTGTGCCATGTCGACGTCTCTTCCAGGTCGGCGAGCTGGCACCTTCTCCTCAAAGTCCTTCTTGGGAAGATGGCTCTTCTGATACTCGTCCGACTCGCTGGCAGTCATCTCGGAAGGAAAGACGCCAGGGGCCAAGCTGTTGACACGAATCTTGAGGCCGTTGGAAGCAATCTCGGACGCCAGCATGCGGGTCAAGTGGATAGCCGCACCCTTGGAAGAGTTGTAGGCAAAGTGGTGCTGGGCCACCTGGACCATGCCGCTAATGGAGGTGATGTTGAGAATAGTGCCCGACCATCCCTGGTGGAGGTCGGAAGACTTTTGCAGCAGAGGCAAGAAGGCGGCTAGGTGAAGATTGGTCAGTGTCTACTCTGCTTGTATGGGTCCTGCAGTCCATGGCCACTCACCACTGGCAAAGTAGATTGCGGCTACGTTGGTGCTGTACACGCTCGTCCAGTCCTCGAACGTGCTCTCTTCAACGTCAAAGAGGTGTTGCTTCATCTCCTCGGCCGACTTGCTCTCGGTGGTGACCGTGTTGCTGCTGATGCCGGCATTGTTGACGAGGATGCAGAGGCACTTCTCCCGAGCCTCGATTTCCTTGACGAGTTTCGCAATGTTGTCCTTTTTGGAGACGTCGAAGCCAGAGAGGGGGATGATCTCGCCCTCAACGTCCTTGCCGTACACCTCGGCCACCCGGTCGAGCTTCTCAGCCGTGCGTCCTGTGATGTACACCTTGGCGCCGTTGACGGCGAGAGCTTGCGTGATCATGAGGCCAATGCCCGAGCCGCCGCCTGTGACAAGGGCAACGCGTCCCTTGACGTCAAAGAGGCTGTTGCGGTGGAGGTCGCCGTGGCTGGCTGCTGCTGCGCTCTGGGTCGACATGGTGGAAGCTGTGGTGCGGACAGGTGAGGCGGGTGTTGGCTTGCGTCGAGTGGTTCTGGCCGGAGAGAAAGCTGGCAGAGGTCTTGTTTTCTGGCACGCAGCGGATGTTGTTGGTGCAGAGAAGATGAGCGATGAAGCAGACGCAAACAACCGTGGGTGCTGGGAAGGGAGCGCGAGCTTAAGAGTTCGCAGACTGAGGCGAGAAGACATGACGAAAGTGATGCTGGATGCCGAGTGGAAGAAAGGCTGATGCGCAGCTCGCTCTGGTCTGTAGGGTCTGGAACACTCGTCGACCGTCACTTAGCGGTGCAAACTCACCTGTTGCCCTTTGCTTTGTATGCCAGTTGCGCCGTGGCTCATGCACCAGCCCATCGCGAACTCGCCCTTTGATCGTGTTCCTGAACACATGATGACGGCAGCTCGCCTGTCCCGGCGGTTTGGATGACGGAGCGGCCGTCACAAGTCTCGGAACAAAGTCTCCGCTGGAGCAAGACCCTAACCCTGGACGCTGTCTTCACATGCTAGCTGACGTATTGGATAGACTCCACCGCATACGCATGTGCACTCTTGGGAACGTCTTGTCATGAGCTTGAAGATCAATTGTCGAATTCGATCGGATAATTCA